ACGTTGAGGGTGCCTCTACATTGCAGGGCTACGTCAATTGCAAATCTTATTTTGAAATAGCTTATTTCGAAATAGGGAGCATCTACAAAGCACTCTTCCTCTGACTTCCCTTATACAATACTGGAATAGGAGTAAGAAGTCCTCCAGCTGGACATATTTTGATACTATTTCAAAATAACTGCCTGCTTTGTAGACACAGACTAAGTTTTTCGGAATAGTGCTAGTTATTTCAAAATAGTGTTGCAGTGTAGACGTACCCTAAATGTGTTGCTTCAATAACTTCCTCTCTGTTGACCATGACACTCGATAATTGGTAAAAGTTGCATTTCTTACAGCTTCCAGTAAAACATCTTTGTCTAGCCACCATCAAAGATGCTTATTTAAAATGATCACTGGGATAATATAGAATGGCATTATATATATTCTAGCAATTGCACCTTAGCCTCTCTGAAAGGGGTGTTGATGATCTCCACAGATCCTGGACTCTATGGGCTGGTCTACACTAGGCCAGGCAGGTCGGCTTAAGGTACACAACCCCAGCTATACAAACTGTCAGCTTACCTCAAGCTGAGCAGTGGTGGTGTTCACACAGTGGAAGGCCAATGGAACCACAATCTCCTGTTGGCATATCTTACTCCTCACAGAAGGAAGAGTACTGAATGCCAGGAGGGACTACCCTGAGTGTTCGATTTACAGGTCTACATTAGATCCACTAAATGAAATGCTAGAAGGTCAACTTCCAGAGGGTCAGTCTTCTCACTAGTATAGATATATCCTATCAGATTGAACTACCCATTATACCATTGAATATTGTAACTCTGTAGAAGCTTATTATAAACACAAAATATGTGAGAGGGAATTGCAGACCATTATTGCTGTTAGATTTTATTAAGCCAGAGAGAAGTGTCTAGTGTGTGAGCGCTAAAGTGAAATTTCTCATATCCCACATCTAGGATAGGAGTCAAAACTAACACTTATGTTTGTATTTCTTTCCCAGAAATGATTCTACTGTCAAGGGAATAATTTGAAAAAAAATCATATTTGAATAATAAAAGTTTGAATAAGAGGGGAAAAACACAGACCAAAGAGATGGTTTATGTTAAAGTCATGTATTTCCAACTCAAGTGTTTTGCCAATACCAGACATAAACTTATTAATCCTTGGAATTAAAGACACCATCTGGCTGCAACTGAAAAGTTAATCACAATGTGAAGCTAATCCTGGATATCAGGTTTTTTCCACAAATAAGCTCTATGATATAAAAATAGGCCTTACTGTAGCACCTTTATGCTTTATGTGCTCAGATTTGAACCCATATAAACCGCCCTCCATTAAAAAATGCAAGAAAGAAAGAAAGGGAAAAGAAAGAAAAGAAACACAATAATCAGCATTTAACCTAACACAGGAGCATGAAAGGATCTATATAATCACCTACTTAGTGGAAGCAGCTTGTAAAGTAATTCTCAGTAAGCACTGGCTCCAGAGGTTTCTTATAAAGCCATGAACATTCACTACTTAAAAAGCTGACAAAACTATTTTTCATTGTCAGCAAATAAAAAAATTGCAAACATAGCCATAATTATTAATGTTGATAATTTTACAAACAAACTGATGATAAAAAAACTATCTATGCTTTTCACAGGCACATACTATTGAGGCATATTCTTCTGAATACTGCTACAGAGATTTCAGCCCCTTATCTCTTTTTTATAACCATACAGCATTGAAATTCAAAACCTCCATTGTCCATATTCTCTCCATTCCAGGGGGATCCTGGAATGCTTTCACCATGCAAAGCTGCCCCAGCACAACACATGAAAGAGACCAGTATTTTCAGTATTCTTGCTGTGGTATATGGGGCAATAACTGGAGAATTCTATACCCATGCAAATGCAGAAGGTGAACACATTAAAAGCAAACAATTTAATGGGTCCATTTGCTGGTCAAGGTACACACCATCTTCTATGCTGCAGATATGTTATGGCTTTGAGTTTCTTACATGACCAACATTAGGCTTAGCAAACCTGTACTAGCAGTAATTAACTTCATGATATAAGCAACCCCTTTAAAATATCACCATTATGACTTCATTTGATTTTAACATCACTTCTGATATATATGGTGTGGGGTTTTTTTGGTGATCTTCTATGTTTGTTATTGAGGCTTCATGCACTGATTTTTTTCTAGCAATGCTAGTTTTTTTAACTTTGATGGGTACTTGTCTGCTCACTAGCTCCTGAAACTTCTGCAAATTGAAATCTCATCTTTCTCTAGTTTCAGTTTCACAGGCTATGCCATGCAGCAGTTTAGGGACCTGAAAATAGACCCCCTAAAAGGGTTGTTTTCTTTCATTGCTCTTGTTTTCTAAATTATGGGGTTAAGGGTACACTGGAGATTTGCTGTGTCAGGTTCAGGTGTTATGGGTTTGGAACATGTATTGTAAATTGGGATAATTAGCTTTTTGATGAGGAAGCATGGAGGATAAAAAGAGGCATCTGGGTGCAGAGGAAAGAAGTTTCTGAAAGTTATAATGTCAGTTAGAGCTGGAGTATTGCCTGGAATATGTCTCTGCTCAATGATTAGTTTATGAACTAGCAGGGAGGCTGGAGAGATTGCAAACTCATTTCTAGATAGGGCAACTAATACCTGGCATTACAAAATAGATACATTTTTGAGAGTGTAGAAGGTGAGTGAAGGACACTGGCAAAGTACTTAGGGGGGAGAGAACTAGTGCATTTGTGTATTGTAGCTGCTTCTCAGATGCGATGGAAATAGAATGTTTCTAGTATGACTACCTTTGTTAATTGTAGAGCTATGCAAAGGCCAATGGATTTATTTTTGGGGGAGGTTGCAACACTACTCTTTAAAAAAAAAAAAAAAAAAAAAAAAAAAAACTATGAAGAACACATCTTCTGTCTTTTTTTTTTTTTCTTTTTTCATGCTAGTCTCATATCTCCATGAATTTCAGCTCGCAATGAGCCCCAAAGTCAATGAAGCTATAGACTGTCTCTAGGCTTATTTAGTGAGTTAACAATGAATGGTGTTAAAGTAAAACCAGTCCCAATATCAGCTTCATTTTAAAACTTGACTGTTTGTGAACTTTTGATGAACCTGCTTTAAGTGTTAAATTTCTAATCATGAATTCAGATAAATTCTGTATGGTTTCAAGTCTTGATCCAACTATTTTTTGCATAGAAAACAGCTGTTGGCTACTAAAGATGTGGTAGCCAGTTCAGAAATCAGGGTGTATATGCTCTCCTTGTCGAAATGTATGAACTACAATGCAAGAAGCAAGCTCACATGCCTCTCCCACAAATCTGGCAAAAAAATTCCCTTTGCCTTGAGCTCAGAGTTCTACCAGCAGCCTTGAAGGTAGCCAGATGGATTCTGTTAGTTAATAGCATATGCCTTTCCTTCCCCTTAGCTAGAATGATTTTAGATGTAATTAATATATCAGAACACTGAGTTCCAGCGATTAGAGATTTATTGCCAGTTAAGTTACCAAAACATTTTTCCTGTTTGAGGGGACTTGACACACCGATCCATGGTATCTAAGTTTACTTTTTATTGCAGGGGTGCAATTCCTTTAACTTGGGTAGTAATATCTGTCTTCTACTGTTTTTTTTTTTTTTCTCTCATATAATTTCTTCCAGTATTCATAGAGTCTTACAGCCAGAAAGAACCATTATGATTTTCTGGTCTGATTGTCTGCATGTAATGAAATAGTATTTATCTAGAGGCTCTTTTTCGGGCTCTCTCTGAAGTTCTAACCTTTGCCTGTAGAGCAGGGAATACTTACAGAACAGGCAAGGCTGCTGAGAATTTCTGAGTTCTAGTCCTACTATTTCTATATCTTTGTTGCACAAGTGAAATAATTTGGTTTCTATCCTTTAATTTCTACCTCTGTAAAATTCTAAGGATACATTTTGGGGAGAGATGATAAATGTTAATTAAAGTATACAGAACTTTTAAAATGCAATTTACAGTAAGGACTAAGCATTAAGTCAAACATCTTCTATACTTTTTGGCTGTCTCTACACTGGCCACTTATTCTGGAAAATCAGCCGCTTTTCCAGAATAACTTGCCAGCTGTCTACAGTGGCCCCTTGAATTTCTGGAAAAGCACTGACGATCTACTGTAAAATCATCAGTGCTTTTCCGGAAAAACTATGCTGCTCCTGTTTGGGCAAAAGTCCTTTTCCAGAAAACTGTTCTGGAAAAGGGCCAGTGTAGCCAGCACAGTAGTGTTTTCTGCAAAAAAGCCCCGATCCCGAAAATGACGATCGGGGCTTTTTTGCGGAAAAGCTCATCTAGATTGGCCACGGACGCTTTTCTTGAAAAAGTGCTTTCTGGAAAAGCATTCTGCCAATTTAGACGTGCTTTTTCCAGAAATACTTATAATGGAAAACTGTTCCATTTTAAGCATTTCCGGAAAAGGGTGCCAGTGTAGACGTAGCCTATTTGTACTTATTTAAAGGAAGAAGTTTGAGTTGAGGAATAAGTGAAATTTCATTCACTAGGCTAAAGTACAAATAGTCCACACTCCAACTTCAGGATTTACAAATACAAGGCTATAAAGAGCACACATCTAGAAGTCTGGTGCTAATAACACATAATCATTCCTTAATTTTGGATAAAGAGGAGAATTCAAAGTGAATTCAGTTACAGCAAAATTTATGAATACTCAAGGGCTACGTCTAGACTGGCATGATTTTCTGAAAATGCTTTTAATGGAAAAGTTTTCCGTTAAAAGCATTTTCGGAACAGAGCATCTAGATTGGTACGGACGCTTTTTCGCAAAAAAGCCCTGATCGCCATTTTCGCAATCGGGGCTTTTTTGAGGAAAACAAATCTGAGCTGTCTACACTGGCCCTTTTGCGCAAAACTTTTGCGCAAAAGGATTTTTGCCCGAACGGGAGCAGCATAGTATTTCCGCAAGAACACTAACAGTCTTACCTGAGATCGGCAGTGCTTTTGCAGAAATTCAAGGGGTCAGTGTAGACAGCTGGCAAGTTTTTCTGGAAAAGCGGCTGATTTTCCGGAAAAACTGGCCAGTCTAGACACAGCCAAGTAGAGTGACAGCTCCTAATTCATTCTATGCATGGAAAAGGTGAAAGCTGCAGCTCCATGTAGAATGAGCCTGCATTTTTAGTGAAGTTGTTCTGAGAAAAAAGTTACTTTCAACACATGGTTCAGTGAATTACAAAGTAGTTTACTTAGTGCACCACATCATATGTGCTTCATTATCTTTTTTGCACCAGGTCAAAGGTTTTATTTTCCATGTTGTATCTATAGATTCCATTATTTGACCTGTCTACTGTTCTCTCTCCATATATATATATTTATATCTAACTACACAAATACCCGTCATCACCACAGTATCTGACTGGGAAATAGTTATGCTTTTATTACATAAGGTGGCTAGATTATTTTTGTTTGCTATTTAATGTCAGTAGGGTTTTTTTTTTGTACAGTGAACTCTGTCATTAGACTTTTGTTTTTCTTAATTAACCAATTGTTCTGAACAGATTATCCTAATAGAATTCAAGAATCTGATGTTAATGTGTCTGAATGATAATTGTATCCTCCATTTAGAACAATAGCTCATTTTATATTTGTCTATATAGATATGAACAGCATCTTATATTTGTCTGTATAGACATGAACAGCCTTGCAAAGGGAAAAATGAAGTTCCGTGTTATTTATTCATTAGACTTTAAGCAGTTGATCAGCCAGGCAGATCCAGCTTTGAGTGTGTTCAACAGTGTGTGCTGTAGTCGTAAAATACCTACCTGAAGTCTCACATAGCTTGAGTTTATTTTCTTATTGGTCACACTTAGTGGGTACTTACTGTTTGGAAAAAAAAAAAAAAAGATTTTCTTCCTTAACCGCATAAGTGGAAATGATGTGACCAACATCCTGCACACCTGGTAAAATTGTTCAGCCCAGTAGATCAATAAAGTAAGTATAACTAAAAAAGCTGAAACTGTTCTGGGTAATCTCTAGAAAAAGAGGCTAAAACTGTAATACTAATGAGTGAATCTCAGGGGTGGTCAATTCATGCCCTCCACACTGCAAAGAGAAAATCAGAGATCTGGCATAAGTTGGTTGGGCTAATCGGTATCAAGAAATAGTATTCCCTGTTCTTGTACCTGGCCTAATGCAACATTTCAATAATGTTTGTAAGGACCCATTTAACCTACAAATTATGGGTGATAATGTCAGATGATTCTCATTTTGCATTAGCTGTTTGACCCATTACTGTCTCTGTAATGACTTGTATTCTGATGTACCATTTATGAATAACAAAAAACACTACCAAAAACTCGAAACAAATTAATCTCTGTATTTGTGAGTTACATGTCTAATTAATGTGTGAATAGCCATGATAGCCATGAGTGTCCCTGCACACATTTGCATACCCTGAAAATTTTGTCACTCTCCTGATAAAGTTTGTCCTGTTATTGGGGAGCAGCTATTCCAATATTGAAAAACAAACAGTTGAAATCAACAGCTTGCGAAAAATCAGTAGTCTGAAAATTATTCACCTCATCTATTTGGTGGATACTCACAAATAGCAGATAGGTGCAAATGGAGAATATTCAATGTGAGGGTGAGAGGGGTTTTAAATTAGTTATAGTGAAAGATCGATCAGTTTAACCTTGAAACCCTGATTGTTGTATGACTTCAAACTGAAGATCTAACTCCTTTGGCTATTGGGGCATCTGTAGGGAGCGCTAATCTCTATGGGCATTTCTATACTTATTGGAAGATTGACATGCTGGAGGTTGATCTTATGGCATTTGATTTAGCAGATCTAGTATAGACCTGTACATCTAACACTGAGGGCAGCTCCCACCGGCAACCAATACTCCTCCTTTACCAAGGAGGTAAGGGAAGCCGAGGGAGTGTTTGTTCCCATTGGTCTCCTACAGTATGGATGCTGCCCAAGCTCAGCTTAAAGTAAGCCAACTCCAGCTGCACATTTTACATAGCTGGAGTTGCATATCTTAAGATGACCTTCCTGGTCTAGTGTAGACCAGACCTGTGTTGTTTATTTGGAGTCCTTTCCTCATGCTGCCACAGCCTATACATGAGTCATGCTACCTGTTCCATCCTTTGCAAATGACAGTTTTCCAAGGTCTTCTAGAAGCTGCAGAAGGGAATTAAAGTGGAGTGGAAAACCACTAATTTCCCTTTGAATTTCCTCTTGTAGTTTTCCTGGTTACTGGAAAAGAATGCCACAAAATGGGTACTGCTCCACTCGCTTCTTTTTGTCTCATTTCATCCCACCTCTCCCCCACAAACTGTTAGATTCCACCTAGCCACATATAGGAATGGAAAATTAGAATTTATCACCATATCTACTTTGAGACTTTACCCATACTGCTTCTGTGATACCTTCTGCAACACAGAACCCAAAACAATTCTAATAAAACAGTTAATTAAGTTAAGACTACACAGTTATTCAAGACTAAAAATAGCATCCTCCAGCGTAAGATGTTTGTGGTGCTCTTTATTTCTAACATACAGCCTTGCTCCTATACTGTGCCCTTTACTTGCAGTTGTTTGTATTTCAAAAAAGCCACTTATATGCCCTCATGACCTAGTTCCTGTGGGGAAAAAGCATCATAAACAAAACCAAGCACTTGCATTACTTTGACCTGATTCATAGTGATCACATGAAGAAAAATGTTCAATGTGACCTACAGAAACAGAGAGGAGACCTACTCAGCTCAGATGAACCCAGCATTTTTAGTTTAATGGCTGTACTCCCTTGAGGCATGCAGGAAGTATGCCTAGAGCTACAAAAATTGACTGAAATGTTCCAATAATGAATTAGAAACAAAATATGTGTTTTAGTGATATAGCCAGTAGACTAGGAAACATAGGTTGTATTTCCAGCCCAGTTACTGACCTGCTGTGTGACTTTGAGCAAGTCATTTAATCTTTCTGTGAATGTTTCCCCTCCCTTCCTTTCCATATCTCGTGTATTCAGGACTACTCCCTTACTATATATTTTCATAGTGCATTACACAATGGCCAACTGATCTTTAGGGGGTTTCTAAGCACTACAGTAACACAACAAAGCAATATTCAGATCAGGAGCATTCACTAAGCATGGTAAAGAGAGATGTTTGTGAAGTGAATTTTAGCTGCTAAATTAAACATAGAATTTGAGTTTGTTGCAATTTTCTGGTTGTTCTCCAAAAATATTATTTAAACACTAGCCGTGAAAATAGACTTAAAATGAAAAACAATAAAAGCATGATTGGATATCTCCTCTCCAATAAGAATTTTTAAACTTTGTTAAATAAAGACAATCCTCTTTTTATGTTCAGAGCCTGAAGGATTTGCACATGAGTGGCTCTAAGGGGGGAAAAAAAACCCATCTTCCTTTTCAGTCCATGAAATGTCAGTGGAACTATAGCATTGTCACATGTACCCTTCTGAGGTAGTGGAGAATGCCTGGCCAATTCTGTAGTCACACATCAACAATCCATGCCATTTTTCCTTAAATAAAAACATCTTTGCTATTGTTCAAGAGAAGTACATAGGAACTGGGGATGGCATGAGTTCCTTACCTCCTTCTCCAGTCCACACAACAGTGGGAAAGCAGAATTGGCTTTAAAGTGTTTTTCATTACAAGATCAGAGTATCTGAGAGTTAAAAGAGAATTTGGACGACAGCGTGATGGGACTCAAAGAAGGCCCTTTTCACCATGAATCCTCCATGGTAGCACTCTGTAAGGACTAGTTACATAGGGCTTTCTACAGTCCTCTTTGCTGTAGTGAGTCTCCAAGTTAACCACCATGCAGAAGGCCCTGGGAGTAGGTTGCAGATGCAATAACTACAGGTTGGATCTCCCTGGATCAGCACGTTTGGAGCCTGACCAGTCCAGAATGTCAGAGATTGTCAGGCCAGTGGAACTGCCCTGCACCACTTAAAGCCCCAGCTGCTGAGCCTCTGGCCACCCTCCCCTAGCCCTGGCCACTGGTCCCTTGGACCAGCTCCACTTCCAGCCCTGGCCAAGCTCCTGGCCCCAGCTGGGCTGCCAGCCTTGCTGCCACCCACCTCTCTGGGGCTATTGCTTTAAGAGTGAGGGTGATTTCCTGCTTATGGTAGAGGATGGGGGAAGGTGGCTTTATGAAAAAGCATACAGACAAACTGATTATGGAAAGGCACAATCTGGAAAATGGTCCATCTCTGTTATAGGGGGCAGCCTACTCTGACTGTCTCGGAGTTTGTATTTTCATATGTGATTGTTGTGAATGATAAGAAATAATCTTAAATTGCAACTCTATCAAGCGTATTTATGTTTTTAATCTAACTTCTCTTTGGGTATGATGTGAATGTAACATTCCACAGTGTAAGAGATCTTACAATCAGGAATTATTTCCTAGTATGCAGCCTACACTTTCCCTTTATTAGTGTCATCCCTATATTCCTTATGTTATATCCTTTTCATCTATTTAAATAATTCCTGTTTCTTCTTGGTCTTTCCATTCTTATATTTGTAGACTTCTAATTGTATCCTTCTTTAGGCCAGATCTATACTAGACCTGGAAAGTCTGCTTAAGGTATGCAACTCCAGCTAAATAATGTAGCTGCAGTTAACATATATTAAGACTATCTTGGTGCGGTCATCACAGTGAGAGGTGGATGGGAGCAAACACTACTGTTGGCTTCCCTTATTCCTTGCGGATCAAGGCATCCAGGGGCGGCATCCACATTCAATTTAGCGAATCTTTACTGGATCTGCTAAATCAAAGGCCAAGAGATCAATCTTTGGTGTGACAAGTGGAGACAAGGCCTTAGTCTTTGCTTGACTAAACTAAACATGGTTTGCTCCTATAATGTTTGATCATGTCAATATAGGAACACAGGAATTGTTACATTTCATCAGAACAGTGATTTGCTGATTTTTTTAAATAATATTTAAGCATTCATCCACATGGTTGACATTTGGCCTGATTATCAGAAATCATGTTCAAAGCCTCTCCAGTGCCAGCTTACAATGATCCATTCTTGTCATGGGATTAAACTGCAGGACCCTCACTATTAGAAGCATGGTCTTCTATCACTGGAGCTAAACGAGTAGCTTAATTCCTTAGCTGATAACAGTAGTATTTTCCTATGCTTTTAGATGGATCAGCTACTGTAAGGAGATATATGTAACACAAGAACCAACAGGACATGTTTAAATGATGTTCTAATTATTATATGAATACACAAACTGAATTATATATGGAGCACAACTTCAAGGAGGATCTAAGGCAATATCCACACAATCACGGATTGTTTCCTAGTTCCTTGTCTGAACAACTGAACAGCAATTGTTTTCTCACAATCCATGTTGGGTCGGAAAGGCTGACATTCTTCTTCATAATGATTGCTATTTCATTCCATGTTTGGGTCAATTAATGTCAATGGGACCAGGTGTAGAGTATGATATCTCTTAGAATTTCAGAATCTGGATCTAAATATGTGCTTCCTGTACAAAAGTCCCCTTAGGTTTTTCTCCTGGATGGTGGAAGACTCTGGTCATGCTTAGTTATCTACATTGGATGACTCATGCACAGAGCCCAATTTCTTACATCTTGCAAGGAGACATTGCCCTTTGTGGGCCTACTTAAGTGCCTGCTGATGTGGAATTGTAAGTAAAGTTAAATGACCTAGCCTACCCCAAAATAACTTTTCCTGGGGCCCCTCAAATGGGAAAAGGTCCAAAAGTACAGCATCTGTGCAATGTTTTTCAAGGAGCCCTTCTCCCTCTCCCTCTCCCTCTCCCCCACTGGGCTCCTGAATCAGGTTCCTGCTGTCACACTTGCCCTGAGAATTTGCAGTGGAGATCTTCCGAATGGAAGTTTCCCATAGAGCTGTTCCTGCTAAGGTGATCTCTACCCTAGAGCTGATTTCAGTTTCTTCTTTTTCAAAGGTATCTTTCCTCCCATACATGATTGGCAGGACCGGGGGTAGAGTTAGCCGTCCAGACATAGAGATTCTGATGCTTTCCTTACCTGTATGGGGTCCATATATCCATTCACAATCTCCCTCCACAGAACAAACTTTACATGCTCATTTCATTTGCTGTCTCATTCCCTATTCTTTTTCCACGGAGTAATGATTAATATGCACAATAATATGTCAACTAGAAACCATTTTGTCACGTCTGTTTGAATGCCATTAAATACAAGCATTAGATACATCAAAATACATCACTGCCATGCTTCATTGACATGCAATTTGTAAACTTGCTCTGGGGGCAACTCTTCTATAGAGGAACCTTATAGTTTTTCTCCCCCCAAAAAACAAAACAGCCCCATAACCTTTCTCCCCATTATACATGTGCTAGTTCATCAGCTGCTAACCACATTCTTGACATTATTGTTCCAAGAACACATAGCATCCATAATTTTTCTTCCATGGACACCCCTTTTGGAATGTTCTCCTAATTCCTTCCTTTCTCTTGTGTTTTGTTTTTAACTTGCAGGCATTTAAAGTGTCTCTGTGCTTACATCTTTCTGCTTAGCGTACATCCCTTGTTTTTCTTTAATAAACAAGTAATTGAACAAGCTCTGTGATGTTTGCTATGCTTTATGCATTTTCATTTCTTATATAAACTTTGCCTAGCTTTCTGTAATGCAGTGGAGCTTACCTGAGAGTGTAAATAAAAAAGATAATTGTTCTGTTTTTCTTATACTGATGCCAGCTTTCAGATGTTGAAACATATCAATTGATTACATGTTGCAGATGCTGTAAAATAAACAGCTAATGGAGAAATGGTGAATAAATACAATGCAGACCCTGGCTCTCTTAGCTACCATTTGAATATATTCAATGGCTTTTAGAACACTGAATTTCTGTTGATCCTCCATACAGATAAGTGAAAGGGAACAATTCTGAGACAATTTTATGCTCACTATAGACTGCGTATAAAATACTCAGGGTAATGAATTTTGAAGTTTGACTCGATTCCTTCTGAATGATGTCAGATCATTTTCTGAAGAAATGGATTAAAATTAAAGTGTTTTACTATCTTATTATCTAATGTTATACATAAATTTTTATATCCACCAGCTTAGCATTTTAAAGATCTTTAATACTATTACAATAAAACTGAGTACTATAGCTAATTTTATATTCCATAATAAAAAAAAAATCTGTGCTGGGAAATCTGTCGTCCTTTAAGCTCTTAATAAAAAGGGAAAATGCCCAATGAATTGTATTTGACACTATGCATAATAAAATGCAACATGGTTAATACTACTATATTTAAATTGAGTATTGATTCAAACTGGAACCTACTACTTTTTGCCTTTTAAAAAAAATTTTAATGCATTAACTGGTGAATTAAATGGGAATTTAACACACTTCCCAACAATTCAATAACAATTCAAATTTAATAGTGAATAAATGTTGACCGTAACAGGCCATTATTTTTATACTGATAGAAATGGTATTTGATTTAGTTTTATCACCCTAAAAATAAATAAAAGAATTTGCAAGTTTATGATAATCCTTTAAAAATATGTCTGCTGTCTACATTTTTAAACAATAGTATTTATATTACAAAACATACTACAAATACATGAGCTTTAACTTGTTAATTCATATAAACAACAAAACAAGTCTGCCTTAACTTTGTAAATAGTTTTAAAGCTTATCCTAGCTAGGTCAATATTTCCAGAAATCATAGGCTTTTTTGGTTTTTCCCCCAGTACCTATGTGACCCATTTTAAGCACCCATCATTGGAACTAGATTATCAAAGGAGCACAACCTGTTTTCAGGTACCTGAATAACAGCTGACTTATAAAAGTACTGAGGCCTCAGCCCCTTTCAGAGTGATGCATGTGGACAGATTTTCAAAAAGTTCTTAGCGCCCACAATTCTTTTGAATTGCTCTTCTTGAAAAACTAGCCACTTATTTTCATGCTTACATAGGTCTCATTTTGAAATCCAGACTTGATTTTTGCTGATGACTACTTTTGAAGATATGGCCTCTAGTTGCTGCTAACCCACTGCACTCTTAATTGGGTTATAGGTGCTATCCAGAGGATTACATTCAGGCCCCCACTCAGCAAGGTAATCATAATTCTCATCCATATCTGACAGACTTGATCCTAAAGAGCTGAGGGATCCAGCCAATGAGCCAGTCCCCTCAAATGCATATGTCTGAAGGGAATCATATGGCAGAGCAGTAGGGTCTGTATTAGCTTCTTTAAGCTTTTCTAAAATGAATTCCCTGAACACGGCACTGTCAGGACCAACTTGCAGAGATTGTCGGTAAAGGCTTTGGATTTGTGTTGTGATGTTTCTTCTAGGCTTGTGCTCTCTCATGACAGTACGAGTCCTGAGCGCTGAAATATCAAAAGCCTCTGTGTCCTCCTCTCCTCCTCCTTCATCATCATACCTGACGATGTTCTCTCTGAACTCTTCAGCCTTGTCAGGGAATAGAGACTTTTTCCTCTTCTCCCTTAAAGCCAGAATTGCCAAGAAAACCACTGACAAGAAAAAAGAAAAGAACTAGAGATTTTTTTACGTGTTTAGAATTTTTAAGGGTGGCAAAACATTCTAGTGTTGAAGCATGTGGATTTATAGAGCAGTAACTGTATGGAGGTATGGCTGTAAGATGTAGTATTTTTGGTGAGGAAACAGCTACAGAGAGACTTATAGAAATGGAGCAATTTGTTTAGAGTAGTGAGGAAAACAAACAGTTTCTGCGCGGAGAGTGAAAGGGCTGCATAGCCCAATGCTGTGAGCAGACCTTTCACATCAGTGCCAAAGGGGAAGCTTCTTGCTTGAATCTTCATCCCTGTTCAGGCCTATGAGGTTGACTCAGACTCTATATTCCCTATAATTATAGGGAATATACCTCAGACCAGTAGAATCTGTCTAAATCAGAGTTGAAAGTAAGCAGGTGCACCCAGGTGCGTAGCTCTGTCAAGAGCTGGCTGATCTGCAACAAAAGCCAGCAGGGAGCTATTGAAAGAGCTGGCAGGGACCCAGGTCACAATAGGAAAGTACCTGTAAGAAATGTTAAGTTACTTTCACCACTGGTCTAAATGGAGGAAACTCTTTCCTGTTCTTCCCTTCTCACCATTCTGCTTCCTAAATTTGTATCAGCTGAGGGGGGAAGAAGGGTGGTGTAAGAGTGGCTATATTTGAGGAAATAGCTATGTGAAAATATCACTTTATCATGCAATGGATGAACTGTGTATTCAGATATCAGAGGGGTAGCTGTGTTAGTCTGGATCTGCAAAAGCGACAAGGAGTCCTGTAGCACCTTAGGGTATGCCTACACTGCCACCCTAGTTCAAACTAGGGTGGCTAATGTAGGCATTTGAACTTGCAAATGAAGCCTGGGATTTAAATATCCCGGGCTTCATTTGCATGTTCCCGGGCAGGCGCCATTTTTAAATGCCTGTAGTTCGAACTACCTGCCCATGCCCACACGTGGCACGGACTAGGTAGTTCGAATTAAAGCTCCTAATTCGAACTACTGTTAAACCTCCTTGCAGGAGGAATAACGGTAGTTCAAATTAGGAGCTTTAATTGAAACAACCTAGTCTGTGCCACATGTAGCCGCAGGCAGGTAGTTCGAACCACGGGCATTTAAAAATGGTGCCCGCCCAGGAACATGCAAATGAAGCCCGGGATATTTAAATGCCTACATTAGCCACCCTAGTTCGAACTAGGGTGGCAGTGTAGACATACCCTTATAGATTAACAGACGTGGGTCTTTGCCCATGAAAGCTTATACTCCAAAACATCTGTTAATCTATAAGGTGCTACAGGACTCCTTGTCACTTGTGTAGTCAGAGTCATATCTGCCTTCTTTATGACCAAAGAAAAATAAAAAGAAACATAAAAAATTATCTTAGCTCTACAGAACCACATAATTATGGTGGAGTGAATTGGATTCTATTCCTTCTCATGCATCATCAGTGGAACTGTCAGCTAAATTCCAATTGTGAGGCTAACTTCTGCATTAAGTTTTATGCATGCTAAGACAAGGTTTTAGTCTTCCAAATTTTTATGATGGCTGAAGATAGATGTGCATAAAGGAACATAGCAAGACTTTGGCCAGATTTTCAGGACTGGCAGTTACAAAGACATATTTTTTACTTCTAAACCAAACAGATTTAATTTGTAATCAGTGAAACACAATAAATACAACAGCTTAATAAGCTCAGCCAATTCAGGGAAGTTCTGTTCAAATGATCAAATACAATATATAGCAGAAGAGGACAGTGAGACAGATATAAACATTCTAAAGCCATCTCACTTATTTTTTCTTACCGAATATTAGTAGTATGCAGGCCAAAACCGCAACTAATGCTTCTATGCTGAGACCCATGGTGAACATAAAAGCTCCAAATCGACAAGACTGGATACTAGCTTCAGTATCACAATCACAGACGCTGACAGTTAGGGTGTTTGTGCTGGTAAGAGAAGGGGTTCCATTGTCCACAATTAGGACTGGTAGGTAGAAAGCAAACTGCTCTTGTCGACTGAAGCTGTTTTTTGCTGTAAGAATTCCAGCCGTGTTATCTAGAAGATGAAGTATGTTAATCAGATATTTGTCATGGTAACAAAAAAAAAGATCCCAAAGCTAGCTAATAACTTATCATTATTTGCCATCAGTGACACTCTGAAAGAATGTATGTCATTGGAGAGGAAACTGAAGTGAGGGGGAGGATTTTACTGATTTAAATGAATTATAAATCAACATAACCAGGTCACATGCAAGATGTCCCAACTGGGATGAGACATTTCAGCTTTGATAAATTTAAAAAAAAAAGTTTGTTACACAGAACTATACAAATTAGCTCCATATTCAGCATAGGGAAATATGGTCACCTTAACAATATGTTGAACTAAGCTGTAGCTAAACATTCTATTAAAACTAAACACATCTAAATCAGGCCCATAATGTATTATTTATCTGTATATCTTAGCAAGGGGTGGGCCAGAGCTGTCTCATGGGGACACTTGGGGTACGTCTAAACTACATGCCTCCGTCAACGGAGGCATGTAGATTAGACAGATCGGCAGAGGGAAATGAAGCCGCGATTAAAATAATCGTGGCTTCATTTAAATTTAAATGGCTGCCCCACTCTGCCGATCAGCTGTTTGTCGGCAGATCGGGGCAGTCTGAACGCGCCGTG